AATGCTTTCTCCGTGGAACTATCACGAGGACTATCCGGTAGCCCGTCAATCTTGCCGATTGAAAAACACGGTGCTGATCTTCCGAAATAAAAGCACGTGGGTTCAATACTTTGCGGTGTACGTTGCGTGATACTTGCAAATTCATCGTTCAAGGGATGTCAAAGTATAAGAGTCAAAATGTAAGGATGTGCTTTAAGGGACAGGTGGATATTTGATAATTTCTGGGTAAAAGAAAGTGGAAAATATTTCGTACTGGAGTTTGAGTATTGATGATGTCTTTCTGAGATGTTAGGAGGATCAGAAATTGAAATGGATTTTCATGGAAGATGGGTAAAAGGTGTTCACCAAGTTGTAAACATTCATGTTTAGATTAAAATTAAATGTATTTTCATAGCAAAAGGTCCTAGTGTCTCATAAGAATCTATGTGTCCCACACGAACCCTACTTCCTATTTGATCCCACATCTTCCACTCTAAGCACATGTAACGAGCAATTTCATCACATTTGCAAAAATACCTTCGCAAAAACAGTGGGTAGAAATTCACCGTTGGTTTTCCCGTAGGTTCAGAAGTAACCGGGTAAGTAATTAACCTGTAGACAGGCAGTAGTCGCGGTTTAATTAATAGTCCGTCGACGAATCGAGGCCCAGCGAGGCCCACACACCTCGAAGCTTTTATCTCGCCGCATTATCGGCCGGAATTCGATTTATGACGTACGAGGAACGTAACAGTGTCGATCGTTGACGTGGAAATAAATAGAGTGGCCGTGCTCGATCACCCGTGAACCGGGAAAAATGGTAATGGCCACGGGGTAAGGTAACAAGACGATTCACCGTTAACGCAAAACGAAATCGATGCTGTTTCTCGCTACGTTACCGACTCATTTTTTGTCCTCCGTTCTGTTTTAATATTAGCGGTTTGCTTTTTACCACGGTTGTAATAGAACTGGATAGAAATAGCGTTTAACGTTTTTATAAGGTGCACCATTCTTTCAACAGGATATGCCTGCAACAGTTTCTTCGGGTTGCGTGTTACTTGTATCCTGTACAGATTAATACTTCGGTATCGTCGGTCAGTTTATTTCTTTTGATAGACTGCATTGACGCTGTTGCAAGTTTTATTGGGTCTAGGTGGTTCAGGTGGTTTCAGTTTGAACTTTTATGAAATTCTACAAATTTTAATCTTATGGTACTTGTTTGATTATTTCAGTAAAATAGTGTTGGTATCTGGGTGACGTATCCACATCCAAATTCTGAGAAATTCACATCTGCGTGTAGATCGATTTGTACAATTGCAACAAATATTTGCTTGAACTTCCTCAGATTTTTCGTTCCTATACTTCACTACTAATGACCAACACTGACATGAGACACTCTTTGCAAACTTTCCTCAGATTTTCGTAGGATTTACTCAGAAACTGTACTCATAAAAGACTTATTTCAAATATGTATCCTGATATTTTTATCCGAGTTGGATCATTAGGTGCATCCAACAACAGCATGAAATAAAGTCTAACGAAGTCCAACAAAGTAAAATCAGCGAACAAGAGACTCGAACGAAGATCGTTTCAGCCTCGTTTAGAAAAGGAAACCGTGAACCATATAAAGAAGGCGAAGAGGAAGAATAAGGAGAAGCAGTTGAAAATGCATCTAAGTAAATCCCTTTCATTCGTTGGGTCTGATAATAAATACGCACCGCCTGCCGTAGGTGAACGCACCGGTTAATACGTTTCGTTCCAGACAAAGACACTTCATTAATAATCGGAAACTCTCCTTTTGTAACCGTACGTGTTCGCTGGTCCCCTCTTTGAGGCTTGCTTTCTCGCATTAGCGAGTCGCGTTAATCAACCGGCACCGAGGATTAATTGGATTTCGGGGGTGAACGCGTTAACAATCTTGCTCGTTTGGAGGGACACTTTACTCGCTATCATTACACTCTTGTTTCGATGCATTAATAACGCCAACTAATTAAAGCTATTACGATTCGAATGAGATATTTCAGCATGATTGGTCGAGCTTATCTTTTTATACAATCATGAACCTTGGATTCTTCAGATCCAAGGCTGTTTCGAAACCAAAATTTGTTGCGAAACTACATTTGTTCAATTATGAACTTTTTAATTTGTTTATTGATCTTTTAAGTAAATTCATACTGTTTGTTATTTAGTTTAAGTTAGGGAAATATTTTTGACTTGTTTAAAAATTTCATGATTCAAGGTTTAAATAAAGTTTGAATATATGTTTGTGTTTAAAAATTGTGATTAAAAAATTATCCGAGGTTTGTAATTATAAAATGATTCTTAAGGAAGGTGGCTAAATGAAATGGTTCCGAGACAACTGTCGATCGATGGATATCGGTCGTTTGAAACACACATCCTCGACAGACCATCAATTATACCCGGAATTATTAATAATGGTAGCTGTCCTAACAGAGGGACTGGCACCCTTCTAATCGCGAGCTGCGCATCGCAAAATACGATGCGGACGAGAGGGAGAAAGCTTTTACGAATGACAAGTTTGCCTCGCAGCATACGAAAGGGAAATAAGAGAAAGAAAGGAAACGGAGTCCTCGAAGGATACTTATTAAGGTGCACTGCACCCTACAGGTGTTCGCGTGGAATGCTTTGAGAACGAGATCGCGAACGAGCCGAGATATGTATGTTTCAAAAGAACCTGCGTGCTCTTCGATATCTTTCTTCTTTCTTGCTTTCGAGAATTTGCTCAGGAATTTTTATTCAAAACGCTATTTGAATTTTTATTCGCTAATCTCTATGATTGCAAGATTAGTAATGGTTTGAAGATGCTGCAACATTTAACATTTTTTTTTTCTTTTATTTTTTATTTTTATATTTTGTATAAATTCTTCGAGCAAATTTATTTTTCATTTTTTTTGTTATTTTCATTCTTTTATATTTCTTATCTCATCATTTATTTATTTCTGATTTAAAAGATTCTTATTCTGATTCTTTTATATTTCTGACTATCACATTATTTATTTATTTTTGACTTAAAAGACGTAGCACAGAGATTAAATATTAATCAACCTAATTTTCATAACAAAAATGTTTAATGAATATTTCGCGATTATTTACCCTCGTCAAAAATTGACAACTAGCAACTTTTTTAAACAATATAAGTTTGATTAAAGCAAAAGAGAATCAGTGGCGTAATATTCATCGAAATGAACGTTTTCTCCAGACGTCAAAAGTCAATGATTTATTTTGAGACTCGCACATCGTGTATCAAACTTAACGAGATATTGTGCCGCTCGGACGATCTTTTTAATCTCGATCTTTATTCGACTAATCGAAAGGGGTCAAGAATATTCGGCTGTCTGATCAAGATCATTGAAACTCCATTTCAAACTTTCAACGATGTTAACACTTTGATATCATTAAAAAATCATAGAAAATCTTTTCAGTTAAAAATTTTACCGTTACTACTTATCAATGTTTATAATATTTTTCTTTTTATTGAACAAGCTTTTACAATTTGGGAAATTCTCGTTGGAGTAAGTGGTAGATCTGTATAATAAATCGTACAAATCAGACTTGTGGATTTATGTGACACAACACTGAGTATTATTTGACTGTTAGGAAATAAACATTTAAGAATGTGAAATAATGAAATGCAAATAATGAAATGATTATATAATTCATATATTATCCAAGTATTTATCGTATGACACTCAAAATGTTATTCGATTATTATTCAATATTTAAAGTATTCAAAATGTATACATAAATTTATAATATCAAAAATGTATATAAACTTAAAGTATCAAAAATGAATATAAATTTAAAGTATCAAAAATGAATATAAATTTAAAATATCAAAAATGAATATAAACTTAAAGTATCAAAAATGAATATAAATTTAAAATATCAAAAATAAATATAAATTTAAAATATCAAAAATTAATATAAATTTAAAGGATCAAAAATAAATATAAATTTAAAGTATCAAAAATGTATATATATAAGTACAAAAAATATCGAAACAAATATAATAAATTAGTTGTAATGAACGCAATATAGTTCATTTATAATTCTCGGACAGTGTTTTGAAACAGAGACCATCCGGTGCCGATAAAATCTATCAGGTGAGATGTTCGAGAGATTTTTCTTGTCCGTTCATGCGCGAAATCATCATCGAGCATTTTTAGATCAGACGAATCATTAATAACTGTGCTGGATGGGGCACCGCGAGGCGAGGAGCACTCATTACTTTCGTCTCGAAGCGAGATTGCTTTCGCAATTTTTCGAGATTACATATTTAGTCGGTTTATCTTTTAGATCAATATTACCCGTAGACGTATCACCGAATTAATAACAGCCGTGAACAATATATTTTATGTCCGCTTTATTCATTTGCTGGGTAGTCATATTTACACTCACGAGAATGTTTATCATGTGAGATGATAAATTTTCTTGGCAAAAATTCATGCAAGGTAAAATCAATTCATAAATTTGTATTTTTGGAAAGTGTAAATAAAATTTTGTCAAATGTAAATTTTGGTGTTTTAAAGGCTAATTATTATTGTGGAGTAAATAATCAAAATTAATGAGGTGAAAAAAGAACGTTGAAATTTTAGGTATATTTCTGATTTAGCTATGTTCGATTATATAAATTACGATTGGTATTGAACTTCAAGTTTATACGAATATGATTTAGGTTTCTCACATTTTAACTGTAACGTGCGTCACGGCTTGATGTTATAGGCCAAGGGGTTAATTCGTAAGTGACTTACGTCGTCGTACAATTGTATCGAGACATTTACGTGTACGAATTTATGAACTGAGTACATGTTCTCAGTTGCAATGCAAACGTGTATGAATTTATGAATCTTCTCAAATATAATATTTTGTCAAACAGAAAAGTGGATGAGAAATCTCAAATCGATAGGAAATTCGTACAAAGAATAAAGGATTAGTCTTGCGAACATGTTAATTCGAATATGACAAATATAAAATAAAGTAATAAAAGTTGTACAATTACTCACCCTGCTCGCACTCGTCGATGTCCTCCGAGCAGTCTGCCCCCTTGTACCCAGTGGCACAGGAACAAGTGAACGATCCATTGATGGGACTGGTATCACAAATCGCACCCTCGTGACAAGGATTCGATGTACACGCGTCGTCCAAGTGACACAGCAGTCCTGAAAACCGGAATACAACGATTTATCCTTCGATTGTATACACAAGATAGCGTGTCGTTCACCCTTTACTCAATGGACTTCATTGCAACATACATTCCTACGATCTACCTCGGAATTTCAAAATACGACACTATACTTCAAAATACGACACTTTGTAATTGTATCGAAAGATTACTGAAAGAGATATATTGATCAGAGAGTTCAAGACCAGAGGGGTTATTTAAATATATTTTCTACAAAATTTGTACTTTTTTATTACAAAATGCAACTTCGACTTTATCTTTTGTCTGAATTTCAGTTCAGTTAGTTCTACTCAAATTTTATTTCTATTTGATTTGATCAATTTTAGTTGAGTCCGTTTGATTGTAATTTTATTTCAGTCAACTTGGTTTAAATTTTATTTCAGTCAATTTTAGTGTAAATTTATTTATGTCTATTTGGTTGTAATTTTATTTCTATTAATTTGATTTAAGTTTCATTTCAACCAGTTTGATACAAATTCAACTTCAGTCAATTTGATTGCAACTTTACATATTTCAGTCCATTTTATTGAAATTTTGTTTCAGTCAGTTTGATGCAAATTTTATTTCAGTCAAATTGATTGCAACTTTTCTTATTTCAGTCAATTTTATTGAAATTTTGTTTCAGTCAGTTTGATGGAAATTTTATTTCAGTCAGTTTGATTGAAATTTTACATATTTCAATCAATTTGACTTAAACTTTATTTCACTCAATTTTATTGAAATTTTTTTTCAGTCAGTTTGATGCAAATTTTACTTCAGTCATTTTGATACCAATCTTACATCAGTTAATTTGATTGAAATTACATTTCAGTGAATTTGATTAAAGTTTCACTTCAAAAAGTTTGACTAAAATTTTGTTCCAAAGAAATTGTACTAAGTGAACTGTACATAACAATATTAAAAAATGCTTTGAGTACAAAGGGTTAAAAATGAACGCAACAACGGTCGGCCATTTTGAAGGGGGCCTGTTAATGGACCGTTGCGTGCGTTTCTAGGACAAAAGTGTCGATCGTCGAGCACCAAACACGGCGGCAACCACCAAAGATGGACATCATTAAGGTCTGTATTGCTTGGTGGTTCGCATAACCTGGCCAGAAAAGTTCTACAAGAGGATCGTTGAACATGAAACGAGTGGAAGAGAGAGAAGTGACAAATCCCAACGGCTCTCGATCGTTCAATACGGATTCCTATTCAGTAAATTGTTGGAAATGCTAGCCAACTTACACGATAAGTCGGCCTAATTGCTTCCTAACATGTGGAAATCTAAGGAATTCCTATCTGAATTGCGTGGAAGAAGCTTGCCGTGGATTCTTAATTTATTTATTGCGTAATGGTTTTAGCTTATTGTCTGCTAAAGATTACTGTTACGCGCAATTAGACTTTTTTGGATCGGAATTCATGTTTCGGGAAATACTTGTTTGAGGTCGGTAAATTTAGAGACTTTCTAATGTTTAGATTTTTAGAGTTCTGAAAGTTCAAAGTTTCTGGATTCTTTTTACTGATTTTTATAATTTTGAACTTTGACTCATTTTTAAATTGTCAAATGACTGAATTCCTAAACTTGGAAGTATTTCAATTTTCAATTTTCAATTTTAAAATTACTCACATTTCCTAATACCTCGATTCATAACATTTCCAATTCCTTAAATTTCGAAGTACTTCAATTTTCAAATTCCTCAGATGTCCAATTTTTAAAGCTTCCGAATTCCTAAAACCCATAATTTCTAAATTATACAAATTCCTAAAATACTGAATTTCTAAATCCACCAAATTCCTGGAACCCCCAATTTCTCAATCCTCCAAATTCCTCAAATCCTCAATTTCTATATTTTTCAATTCCTAAAATCCCCAATTTCACAATTCCTCAAATTCCTCAAACCCCCAATTTCTAAATCTATCAAATTCCTAAAACCCCCAATTTCTCAATCCTCCAAATTCCTGAAATCTCCAATTTCACTATTCCCCAAATTCCTCAGATCTCCAATTTCTACATTCTCCAATTCCTAAAATCCCCAATTTCACAATTCTTCAAATTCCTCAAACCCCCAATTTCTATATTCTCCAATTCCTAAAATCCCCAATTTCACAATACTTCAATTTCCTCAAACCCCCAATTTCTAAATCTATCAAATTCCTAAAACCCCCAATTTCTCAATCCTCCAAATTCCTAAAACCTCCAATTTCACAATTCCCCAAATTCCTCAGATCTCCAATTTCTACATTCCCCAAATTCCTCAAACCCCAAATATCAAAATTGCCAAAATAACTAACTCAACCCTCAAATTCCCAAATCTCAAAATTCTCCAATCCCTAAATCCCTAAATCCCCAAACTTACAAATCCTAAATGACACCATAGAAACCCTCCACGACCAAATAGCTCCACCACATTTCCTCCCACATAAAAATCACAAGGCGCAAATGGCATAGATCGGTATCCATCTCCAACTATTCCGAGACACAAGAAGTCGTTTGTTGGTCATCGGCAACAATGCCACTCGAACGCGGGTATCTCGCTAACGGGACACGGATGTCTAAGATGTTCGCATATAAACCAGAGTGAACAAGATGCACGATTACACGTGCGTATACGTGCTATAAACCCGTTAGTTTGTACGCGTTGCTTAAACCGTTTCAAAATAATGAGATCGTAAATCGTTGACAACTAGTATGATGTAGCCCGTAACGGGAAACGATCGATGTTACGGACTGTTTCAACACTTAACGCGATACGGAGGCTAAGAAAAAATTACGGTAATTGTGTTCCTGTTTCTGCTGGGACACTTTTCTCCTCGAAAGAGTAATCGTTCGAGTCTTCGTCGTTCAATCTTGAAAACAAATTTTTAAGTCATGTGTGAAAAATGTACTTTTTTAATGTTTATGAAAGATGTTGTAGGTAGAACTTGATGAATATTGATACTTGTTCTTGTGATTAATATTAGAGAACATACTTCTGAATATATTGTATATTGTTATATACAAGGATAGTTAACCCCTTGGGTAGTGATGTATTTAAGAGGATTTTTGTCTATGGAACAAATTTAGTTTCTTCGTCCAGATCCAAAAAGTACTAAGTAACAAGATGATAGCTCATATGTGAAGCAGAAAATGGAGATGCACCTGTTTCTAATAATTGATTCAATCATTTGATCATTCAGAATTTGAAAAAGTCTTTTGATCTTAAAAGTACTAGATAACAAAATAGTTCCTGAATAACAGAAACTACAGGTAGAGCTATTCCTAGTACGCAATTGAATCACCCGACCACTCAGAATCTAAAGAACAGTCTACACCCTAAAACTGCTAGAACAGATTGCTCATCCATGGATCAGAAAGTGCCTCTTCCTAGTATCCGCTTCAATCAACCATTTAAAACAAACCGACACGTCAGCATCCCGCGTTTCAATCCACAAAAAGATGTTAGAAGAAGCGTTTCGTTCAAAAGCCCGTTCGAAGGCTTCCCTTAAACGTCCCTTCGCATAGGAACGCCGATCGCGCGCGAATTCCTTCATTTAAGATTTCCCGAGGTTCCGCCGGTGAAAAAGTCGCCGGTCGAGGTATAAGGTCGTGGTTCTATCGCAAGAATCGCAATAATGCCGAGACGAAAGAAGGATGCCTGTATTTGGCGATCGCTGTCGGTACGATCGATCTGAAAACCGTCCTCTCGGCCTCGAGGGCAGGCAAGTAAGGACAGAAACTCGTTTTCAGTCCTCAAGGTCGTCGCTCGGTAAGGCTAGCCTGGAGCCTCCGGAATCTTGGGATTCCGAGGCCTCCCTTCAGGGTCCGCGGGGAAACATCATATTGTTGCACGTGCAGATACACCTGCCCGGTGCGCTCGAGATGCATAACGCGTCATAAGCCTTCTTATCGGGTTCGAAGTCTTATAAGACACAATTCCAGGATCAATTATCATGAATTATCATATTGTTCATTACCACATTCGAACTTCCTCTTTCAAATCTCATTGTACTTTAAAAACAAACTTACTTAAGCTCGAAAATTGTGAACAACATTTAACAAAATTTTGTATAATTTTCTCAGTAATCTTGTCACTTTACTTTATCGCAAAACTACTACTTTATTGCAAGAGTTGTCTAATCCCTTAACCCAGAAGTGTCTTTACAACTCAGCACTCTACAACACCTGTCTCTCTCTTTCTACCTCTATGCTCTCCTCTGTCTTTACTCTACCCACCTCTTTGCTCTACCCATACTCTGTCTATCTCTACCTCTGATTTATCTCTTCCTCTCTGTATCCATATTTTCTCTCTCTGTCTCTTTCCCTATCTGTTCTCTCTCTCTGAGCAATTTTCATGTAAATCATGATGTACTTACCAGTCTTTCCATAGGTGCATTGACAGTAGAAGCTGCCGACGCGGTCGATGCAGGTAGCGCCGTTAAAACAGGCGGCTCCTGCACAATCGTCGATGTTGACGCTGCAATCGGGTCCGGTCCATCCGTTCACGCATATGCACGAATAACTGCCAGGAGAATTGGTGCACGTGGCACCGTTGTGGCACAAGGATGGCCGGACCGAGCACTCGTCCACATCGAGCTCGCATTGTGTGCCCGTGTACGATGGCGGGCACAGACAGGAGTATTCGTTTATCCTGTCCATGCAGGTTGCACCGTTCTGACAGAGATTCCCTGGACAATCGTCGATGTTCTCCTCGCATTGATCGCCACGAAATCCTGGAACAAAAGAAACGCGTCTGGTTAGAAAGATTCATATGGGATCGATAAAAATGGGAATATGTTTCATCCTGTTTTTGAACAGGTGTTGGGGATTGAATAGGGTTCGGTGAGAAATGTTGGGTTTGGTTTTAACAGTTTTGTTGGCGAGGGTAACTGATTTAACATTCGTACGTTAGTAATATGAACATAATGTAAAATATTAATAATATGAACATTATGTATGAAATTATTAATATGAACATAATATATGTCATCAATAATATGAACATAATGTATGACATCAATAATATGAACATAATGTATGACATCAATAATATGAACATAATGTATGAAATCAATAATATGAACATAATGTGTGACATCAATAATATAAACATAATGTATGACATTAATAATATGTACATAATGTATGACATTAATAATATGTACATAATGTATGACATTACTAATATGCACATACTGTATAACATTAATAATATGATCATAATGTGTGACATTACTAATATGCACATAATGTAAAACATTAATAACATGATCATAATGTATGACATTACTAATATGTACATAATGTATGACATTAATAATATCTACATAATGTATAACATTAATAACATGAACATAATGTATAACATTACTAATGTGTACATAATGTATGACATTACTAATATGTACATACTGTATAACATTAATAATATGACCATAATGTATGACATTACTAATATGCACATAATGTAAAACATTAATAACATGATCATAATGTATGACATTACTAATATGTACATAATGTATGACATTAATAATATCTACATAATGTATAACATTAATAACATGAACATAATGTATGACATTACTAATGTGTACATACTGTATAACATTAATAAGATGAACATAATGTATGATATTATCAATATGTACATAATGTATGGCATCAATAATATGAACATAATGTATGACGTCACTAATATGCACATCATGTGTAACATTAGTAACATGAACATACTACATAACATAAGTATGATGAACAAAAATAATATCAATAATATGAAACATCTTAATACGACAATAATATATGACACGAACAAACTACATAAAATTAGAATTATATCTAACATGATATAATGAACTAGAACAATTTTAAAAGTTAAACGAGCTATACTTGAAAAACTATGTAGTGTCTATAGATGTAATGTCTGACTATAAACATCTATTTCTACTGCTGCAACCATGTTCCCCCTATTAAAAATTAACTTTTAAGCCACAGCTTCTTTGCTACTTCACCGCGGCATTTTTAACGAAGTTATTACGTTGTTTCTTCAGTAGAATTTATGGTAGATTAGAGAAAAGGACGATGCAGGAAGAAGACGTAGATAAAACGATAAACCTTGATAACTGTGAAATCGATCAATCGATACGGTATCGAGTAGCGTGTATATAAACGGTAAGCAAATAGCGTTACGATGATGGGCGAAAATTTCTAAGTGTTCGAAGTTAAGCAAGGGAGAAACATAGAAGAAAAGTGATCGATATGATAGCAAGAAACGAACGGTGTTTAATTAAACGAAAATCGCTGTGGTGTAAGGCTTGGAAAGCGCAAAAAGCGGTGCATAGAAAGGATCGATAGGATCGACGTAGCATGACGCGCGATTATTCACAAGCGAACTGAAAACCCCTTTGGCTTTTTCAACGAGTCGTCTTTTCTGGACCTTATCTAGTCGCAAGTAAGATAAATATTCAGTCTATGGTAAATGGATTCGAGGCGGTCTGTGATCGTGCAGATCACGAACGGAAGCAAAGAAGTATTTGACAATTTAGATTTGCTCATTTTTTGATGGTTGTTTATTTTTTGAGCGAGGTCAGTGATCTTCGTTTGTGAAGTTCAGGTACTTGCGATTGGAGACTGATGTGTAATTTCACAAGTCGACAATTTTTAATTTTTGAGTTTGTGGATTGTTATATATCTAAATTTCTAGATTTCTAGATTTCTAGATTTCTAGATTTCTAGATTTCTACGTTCCTAGATTTCTAGATCCCTGGATTCCTAGATTCTTAGATTTCTGAATTCCTAGATTTCTAGATCCCTGGATTCCTAGATTTCTAGACTTTTGAATTCCTAGATTTCTACATCCCTGGATTCCTAGATTCCTAGATTTCTAGATTCCCAGATTTCTAAATTTCTAAATCTCTAAATCTGTAATTTTCGCATTTCAATTTTTTTACATTTCCATATCTACAAATTTCAAAATTTCTAAATTTCTAAATTTGCAAATTTCCACACTTCCAATCTCCCATATTTCCAAATTTCAAAATATCTATACCCCAAAATTTCACCCTAAATGACACCCTAAATCTAATGACCCACAAATCCATAATAAATCACTATCTGATGAAACGCTTTCTGATACATTTCGAGATCTCCTTTTCTGCGTATAAATAAAAATTATATAGAACAATACACACCACGTTCTTCTGCGTTTATCTATCCGTATCACTGGTTGTCCAGCGATGCAAACTTGGTCATGAACCACGGTTACCGACTCTAATGGCGTGCATAATTTATGCTCGGTAAAGCGGTTAACTAAACTTCCTGTGCATCCTCACCGACACGAGAGTCCATAGTTTCGTTCGAGAGCAAAAAAAATGTGGATCCTATACGTATGTATGGGCCACGACGTTATTATACCAGGTTGCAAACATTAATATTAAAGCGATGCAAAAGTAAATCGGTCGAGGAACCTCATGGGGGTTCGTCGCCCCTTACAATCTTATAATCTACCTTCTATTATCCAATATTATTAATTCATAATGAACGGAAAATATTTAAATATCTCATTCATTCAGAAAATATATTCAAAATAATCTGAACATCTATTTTGAATTCTACTTAAATTAGCATTTAGTATGTGGATAATATTTATTATTAAAAAATGATGGAAAATGGTGTCAAATCATTCAGGCAATTTATTATGTTGGTTGCCATACTGAAGAACTTATTAAACAGTTCAAGAAAACAGTTTAAGAAAAATCTTATTAAACAGTATTTTTATTTTTAATAGTTACCAAAATTGTACAAAATATTTTGTTATAGTTTTTGTCCATAGTTTCGAGTAGTTAATATGAGTATTTCCAGTTATGTAACTGAACAAATTATTAATAATATAGGTGTTGGATTCGCAAGGTTTAAGTACACATACATGTATGTGTAATAATATACATGTATACATATATGTGTAATAACATGCATGTCCACATGTATACATATATGTGTAATATAAACATATATGTATATGGTACAAGGTAGTTAAAGTGATAAGTTGGTCAATAAATGACTTACATGTTCACATATTAAAAATTACATATGTCCATCAAAATTGAACACTCACACTCACGAATAACTACAAGCTTCCGAACCTAACAAGAGAGGTAAAATTCATGTCGTGTTACTATGTATCAGTTATAAGACTTCTTTCCTGAATTTTTTTCGAGTTCGACACGAAATTGCTGCAGAGCAATTTGGCGAAGCAACAAATGGTTCCCCAGCAAGGCTTCCGTCAGTAAATTTCGGCAGAGATTCGAAACTGGAATTTCAAGGAGGTTTCCCTTCTTGAGTTACCGGATTACGGAGGGAGCGGTTTACACGCTACCGTGAGACTGTTACACCGTAAAATTCAGATTATAATACCCTTTCCTGGCCACGAATTTACATGGCAGCGTTACGCGAAACGTAGATTTCACCTTTCCTCGTTAAATTGAACTTTTACGAGCTGTACTCTACGCGTCCAGACATCATCGTTTTCTCTTAAATTGCAACAGCGGAATAAAAAAAAGGAATTTTTAAAGAACCCGTGTTGGAGGATGAGGACAACACGGCATAAAGAAGAAGAACCTACGTCACGGGTTCAGAACGAATCGATTGCCTCTAATATCGATACGGCCGAGGGCAGACAGCCAGACCATTGATGCTCGTTGAAAAATGCACGTATTTGCAACGGCTTTCGTTCCCTGTCCTTTCAATGCTTTTCTGACCTTTTTTCTGCAGTAATAAGGGGGATATAAAAAGCTCACCCTCTATGGCTAAGTTGGGTTTATTTAGGGTGTGCACGTTATTTTTGTCTTTTGTGACGATGTGATACAAAATTGCTGTTTATGAAATACAAAATCATATGTACATGTGTATTTAATAATTACTGATTTTGTGATGTGATGTCAATGTGTTTGTAATGTGAAGTCAAGGTGTATGTAACGTGATAATCAACGTATATGTGATGTGAAGTCGACATATGTGTAATACAAAATCAACACATATGTAGTATGAAATCAAAGTACATGTAATATAATATCAATGTATGTATAATACAAAAATCAACGTATATGTAATATATCAATGTATGTATATATAATATAGAATCAACGTATGTGATATAAAATCAACATATGTGTAATACAAAATTAACATACACATGTATGATATGAAACCAACATATATGTAATATGAAATCAACATATATGTAATACAAAATAAACATATATATCATATGAAATCAACATATGTGTAACATAAAATCAACACATATGTGATATAAAATTAACACATACGCAACACAAAATCACAAGTTTTCAGTCAAAAGTAATAATAAGGATATCAAACTTTATTTGAGTATCTGAATATTTGGAGAAAAATAAATATACAATCAATATCACTAAAATTTCGAGTTCTTGTAATGCTACCATTTCCCTAGGAAACAGAGTGGTTACATTATACGAATCGGAAGGACACTTCCTAGTTACGGAGGAAACAAAATGATGGGTATCCTCGTGGTAAAAGAAGCCACGACGATGCAACGCGGGGTCAAAGGGTTTCGAGAAGGCTTTTTCAACGTGAGAACCCTGCGATTTCAAGAGAAACGCGACCATCTACATACTTTTCATGATGGAACACGAGTCGAAATTCGTAAATTCCTCTGAAACGATTATGGACGAATAACTCGCTGCTTTCTTCT